CCCATGGATTTTGGGGCCACCATGACCCTACAAGAACCTCCATGGATTTTTGGGGTCACCATGACTCTCCCATGGATTTTTTGGGGTCACCATGACCCTACAAGAACCTCCATGGATTTTTTGGGGCCATGATGACCCCACAAGATCCCCCCAGGATTTTTGGGGTCCCCCAGCCCCTCCCGGTGGGTTTTTGGGGTGTCCCCACCTCCTGCAGCAGCTCCCCATGGATTTGTGGGGTCACCATGACCCTACAAGAACCTCCATGGATTTCTGGGGTAACCATGACCCTACATGAACATCCATGGATTTTTGGGGTCACCATGACCCCACAAGCTCCCCCCAGGACTTTTGGGGTCCCCCAGCCCCTCCCGGTGGATTTTCGGGGTGTCCCCACCTCCTGCAGCAGGTCGGCCTGCTCGATGGCCTTGAGCACGCTCTTCTTGGAGGTGTCCTGGATCTCGCCGCCCATCACGAACTCGTCCAGGATGAAGTAGGCCTTCTCGAAGTTGAAGATGATGTCCAGCTCGCACACCTGCCCGGGGCGTCACCGCGCGCTTGGGGACACGCGGGGACACCCCCGGATCCCGGCTCCCTCGGGTTGTGGGGGGGGAGCGGGGCTGGGGGACACTGGGGGGCTCTTGGTGGCCTCGAGGGGCTCCTGGAGGAGTTTGGGGTGGCCCTGGGGTCTTCATGGAGAACTTTAGGGTGGCCTTGAGGGGCTCCTGGTGGCACTTGGGGTGGCCCTGATGGCCTCGAGGGGCTCTTTGAGAACTTTGGGGTGGCCCTGGTGGTCCTGGGGTCTTCCTGGAGAACTTTGGGGTGGCCCTGGTGGCCTTGAGGGGCTCCTGGAGAACTTTGGGGTGGCCCCAAGGGGAGTCTGGTGGCATTTGGGGTGACCTTTGTGGTCCCTGGGGTCTTCCTGGAGAATTTTGGGGTGGCCCTGGTGGCCTTGAGGGGCTTCTGGAGGAGTTTGGGGTGGCCCTGGTGGCTTTGGGGTCTTCCTGGAGAACTTTGGGGTGGTCTTGAGGGGCTTGGGGAGAACTTTGGGGGGCTCTTGGTGGCACTTGAGGGGCTCCTGGGGAATTTTGGGGTGGCCCTGGTGGCCTTCAGGGGCTCCTGGAGGACTTTGGGGTGGCCCTGGTGGTCCTGGGGTCTTTGTTGAGAATTTTGGGGTGGCCCTGGTGGCCTTCAGGGGCTCCTGGAGGACTTTGGGGTGGCCCCAAGGGGATTCTGGTGGCATTTGGGGTGACCTTTGTGGTCCCTGGGGTCTTCCTGGAGAATTTTGGGGTGGCCCTGGTGGCCTTGAGGGGCTCCTGGAGAACTTTGGGGTGGCCCTGGTGGCCTCGAGGGGCTCCTGAAGAGTTTTGGGGTGGCCCTGGTGTGTCCCTGAAGACCACAGGACGCCCCTGAGGTGTCCCTCATGACCCTGAGATGTTTCTGGTGACCCTGAGGTGTCCCTGATGTCCCTGAGGCGTCCCTGGTGACCCCAGGGTGTCCCTGGTGACCCCAGGGTGTCACTGGGGGTTCCCCGGTGACCCCAGGGTGTCCCCGGGATGTCCCCAAGATGTCTGTGGGATGGCCCTGATGTCCCCAGGGTGTCCCTGAGGCGTCCCTGATGACCACAGGGTGTCCCCGTGGTGTCCTTGGTGACCCCAGGATGTCCCTGAGATGTTTCTGATGACCCCAGGATGTCCCCAGAATGTCCCCAGGGTGTCCCCGGGATGTCCCTGGGGTGTCCTTGGTGACCCCAGGGTGTCCCCGGGATGTCCCTGGGGTGTCCTTGGTGACCCCAGGGTGTCCCCGGGATGTCCCTGGGGTGTCCCTGGTGACCCCAGGATGTTCCCGGGATGTCCCCAGGATGTCTGTGGGATGGCCCTGATATCCCCAGGATGTCCCCAGGATGTCCCCAGCGTGTCCTTGGTGACCCCAGGATGTCCCCAGGGTGTCCTTGTTGACCCCAGGTTGTCCCCAGCGTGTCCTTGGTGACACCGGGATGTCCCCAAGATGTTTCTGGTGACCCCAGAATGTCCCCAGGATGTCCCTGGGGTGTCCCTGGTGACCCCAGGGTGTCCCCGGAATGTCCCCAGGGTGTCCCCGGGGTGTCCTTGGTGACCCCAGGGTGTCCCCGGGATGTCCCTGAGGTGTCCCCGGTGTCCCTGATGTCCCCACTCACGCTGCCGAAGTACTTGTCCAGCAGCTCGACGTAGCGGTGGATGAGCTCCAGCGTGATCAGCTCGTTGTCCTGGCCCTCGATGGCGCAGCAGAAGTACAGGCTGGCGTACCTGGGGGACGACGTCGAGCTGGGGACGTCCCCGCGGCCACCGCGAGCCACCGCGGCGCCAAGGAGGCCCCCGGTGTCGCCGTGGTCGACCCAACCGCGGTCAACTCGTCACGGTCAAGCCAACCATGATCAGATCATCATGGTCAACTCATCATGGTGAAGCCAACCGTGGTCAACCTATGATGGTCAACCCAACCGCGGTCAACTCGTCATGGTCAACCCAACCAGGATCAGATCATCATGGTCAACTCATGAAGATCAACCCAACTGAGATCAACTCGTCATGGTCAACCCAACCGTGGTCAACCTATGATGGTCAAGTCAACTGCGGTCAACTCGTCATGGTCAACCCAACCAGGATCAGCTCATCATGGTCAACTCATTAAATCAACCCAACCGCGGTCAACTTGTCATGGTCAAGCCAACCGTGGTCAACCCATGATGGTCAAGCCAACCACGCTCAACTCGTCATGGTCAAGCCAACTGTGATCAATTCATCATGGTCAACTCATCATGGTCAACTCGTCATGGTGAACTCATGAAGATGAACCCATGATGGTCACCCCAACTGAGGTCAACTTGTCATGGTCAACCCAACTATGATCAGTTGATCATGGTCAACTCATGGAGATCAACACATGATGGTCAACTCAACTGAGGTCAACCTATGATGGTCAACCCAACCGCGGTCATCTCATCATGGTCAAGCCAACCGTGGTCAACCTATGATGGTCAACTCAACCATGATCATCTCATCATGGTCAACTCATGAAGATCAATCCATGATGGTCAAGACAACCACGGTCAACTCGTAATGGTCAACCCAACTATGATCAGTTCATCACGGTCAACTCATGAAGATCAACCCATGATGGTCAACCCAAGTGAGGTCAACTTGTCATGGTCAAGCCAGCCATGATCAATTCATCATGGTCAACTCTTCACGGTCAACTCATGGAGATCAACACATGATGGTCAACTCAACTGAGGTCAACTTGTCATGGTCAACCCAACCATGGTCAACCTATGATGGTCAACCCAACCATGATCATCTCATCATGGTCAAGCCAACCATGGTCAACCTATAATGGTCAACCCAACCACAATCAATTCATCACGGTCAACTCATCACGGTCAACTCATGAAGATCAACTCATGATGGTCAAGCCATCCATGATCAAGCCATCATGGTCAACCCAACCATGATCAACCTATGATGGTCATCTCAACCATAGTCAACCCGTCATGGTCAGTCCAATCACTGTCAATCCATCATGGTCAAGTCAACCATGATCAACTCATCATGGTCAAGAGAGTGTGGTCAACCCAACAAGAACAACTCAACCATGGGATACCCAATCACAGTCAACCCAGTCATGGTCAACCCAACATATTCAAGCCAACCATGGTCAACCCAACTATGGTCAACCCATCATGGTCAACCCAACCGTGATCAATTCACCACGGTCAACACAATGACAATCAAGCCATCGTGGTCAACTCAACTGTGGTCAACCCAACCATGGTCAACTCACCATGGTCAACCCAACCATGATCAATTCACCACGGTCAACACAACCATGATCAAGCCATCATGGTCAACTCAACTGTGGTCAACCCAACACAGTCAACCTGACCATGGTCAACCCATCATGGTCAACTCATCACGGTCAACTTGACCATGATCAACTCATCGTGGTCAACCTAACTGTGGTCAACCGATCATGGTCAACTTATCATGGTCAACCCAACCACGGTCAACCCAACCATGATCAACCCATCATAGTCAACTTGACCATGATCAACTCATCATGGTCAACCCAACCATGATCAATCCACCATGGTCACCTCATCATGGTCAATCCAACCGTGGTCAACCCATCACGGTCAACTTGACCATGATCAACTCATCGTGGTCAACCCAAACATGGTCACCTCATCATGGTCAACCCAACACAGCCAACCCAACCATGGTCAACCCAACCATGATCAACTCATCGTTGTCAACCCAACCGTGGTCAACCCATCATGGTCAACCCAACCATAGTCAAGCCATCATGATCAACTCACGAACATCAACCCATGACGACCAACCCCGCCATTTTTGGGTCGGAAAACCCTTTTCTTGCCGCGAAACCCCATTTTTTTGGACACGAGACCACTTTTCCCTCAGCTTTTTTTTTTTTTTGTTACGCGACCAAAACTCATTTTCTACCTTTTTATTTTTTGGGGTTTTTTTTACCTCTTGTAGACCACCTTGAGGTCCCTCCACTCGAGGAAACTGCACATTTTGGGTTTCCTGGCCAGCACCACCTGCATCAGCTCCCGCACCATCTTCTTCTTGTCCTTGTCGGCCGTGGCCAGGTACCACTTCTGCAGCCTCAGTTTCCCTTGGCGGCTGAACAGCAGCATGAACCGCATCTGGGGGGGCTGGGGGGTCACTGGGGGGACTGGGAGCGACTGGGAGGGAACTGGGAGCGACTGGAAGGGAAGTGGGAGGGAACTGGGAGCGACTGGGAGCGACTGGGAGGGACTGGGAGGGAACTGGGAGGGACTGGGAGCGACTGGAAGGGACTGGGAGGGGATTTGAGGGCAATGAAGGGGAATTTTTGGGAGATTTGGGGAAGTTTTGGGGGGATTTTGGGGATTTGAGGTCACTGGGAGGGAATTGGGAGGGACTGGGAGGGGATTTGGGGAGGATTTGAGGGAAATTAAAGGGAATTTTGGGGAAATTTTGGGGGGATTTTGGGGATTTGAGGGGGGTTTGGGGGATTTGAGGTCACTGGGAGGGACTGGGAGGGACTGGGAGGGGATTTGAAGGAAATTAAAGGGAATTTTGGGGAGATTTGGGGAAATTTTGGGGGGATTGTGGGGATTTGAGGCCACTGGGAGGGACTGGGAGAGAACTGGGAATACTGGGAGCAACTGGGAGGGACTGGGAGCAACTGGGAGGGGGTTTGAGGGCAATTTGGAGGAGTTTTGGGGGGATTTTGAAGATTTTGGAGAGGGTTTTGGGGAGTTTTAGGGCAATTTCGGGTCACTGGGAAGGACTGGGAGGAACTGGGAGGGACTGGAAGGAATTGGGAGGGATTTTAGGGGGGATTTGGGGAGATTTAAGGGGGATTTTGGGGGAGTTTTGGGGGGATTTTGAGGAGTTTGGGGGGGTTTGGGAGGGGGGTTGGGGGATTTGAGGTCACTGGGAGCAACTGGGAGGGACTGGGAGCAACTGGGAGGGGATTTGAGGGCAATTTTGAGGAGTTTTGGGGGGATTTTGAGGAATTTGGAGAGGGATTTGGGGGAGTTTTAGGGCAATTTGGGGTCACTGGGAAGGACTGGGAGGGACTGGGAGGGACTGGGAGGGAGTTTGGGGAGATTTGGGGGGATTTTGGGGAGTTTTAGGGGGGATTCGGGGTCACTGGGAGGGACTGGGAGGGGTTTTGAGGGGATTTAAGGGGGGTTTTGAGTGGTTTTAGGGAATTTTGGGAGGATTTGGGGGAATTTTGGGGGATTTGAGGGAGTTTCGGGAGGATTTGGGGGAACTTGAGGGGGATTTTGGGGAGTTTTAGGGCAATTTGGGGTCACTGGGAGGGACTGGGAGGGGGTTTGGGCAGATTTTGGGGAGATTTGGAGGAAGATAAGAGGGATTTGGGGGAATTTTGGGGGATTT